ATCAATTACCATCCCTCTACTCAAAGTAGACGGCACAAGCCCTAGTCTCTTCACACAATCCACATAAACAAACGAGTGAGTTGCACCCGTATCAATAATAGAAATCAAATGAGTGTTATGAATGTAACACGTACCTCTGACCAAACGATCCTCACCGGTAGGATGAGCTCCCACCAATGCAAACACCTTCCCACTTGTCTGAGACTTCTTTGGTTTCTGACAGTGGGTGCTGATATGACCCTGCTCACCACATTTGTAACATGTTGGTATGTTGGTTCTACAATCCGCGACCACATGACCTGCCTTTCCATACTTAAAACACTTCTTCACCTCATTCTGACATTCATTCGCACGGTGATCTTCGCCACCACATTTGAAACACTTGATAGGATTGGAAGGATTTCCTCCCCCACTTGGTTTATTCCTAGCAACATCTTTCTGCTTTCCTTTATCAGCCGGAACACAGTAAGGTGTATTCCCATGCCTCTGTTTGCCTCTTCTGTCACTTAGATTCTTATAGTGAGCGATTCTAGCTCTGTTGTCTTCATCATAGATTCTACACCTGTTCACTAGCTCAGGAAAGTACTTGATCTTTTGATAATCGACACCCGTTTTGATCTCGGGACGCAACCCGTTCTAAAACTTCATGCACTTCAAACTCATAGCTGCATCAGTATTGTAATGAGGATAATACTTTACCAGTTCGTCAAACTTAACCGTATACTCTGCCACTGTCATGTTCCCCTATTTCAACTCAATAAATTCAATCTCTTCCTTTCCACTAACAACTTCCAGAAAATACCGTTCTAGAAACTCTGCCCTGCACACTGTCCAATTAATGGGACCCTCACCAGCTTTCAGTCTCTGGCGGGTGTTGTCCCACTAATCTTCAGCGTCACTTTCCAGCATATGGGTACCAAACTTTACCTTCTGATCCTCTAAGCATCCTATGACTCTGAAGATCTTCTCAATATCCTTCAGCCATTTTTATGCTACATCTGGATCATGTCCACCTTCGAACTTAAGTGGCTTGTTATTCTGGAACTTCTCCAAATTATGGAACTCCCAGTTTCCAGCATTCCAATGGATATTCTGACCAATGTTCTCTACCGCCTGGGTAACAACTTGTAATGTAGCAGCCACCACAACATCATCTCTACGAGTCATACTGCTCAACATCCACAAAAACACAGGTTAGAAAATCACATGACCATAAACATCCTACAGTCTGACTCTACTACAACACTGGCCGGACGGACCGAACAACTTTGATACCAATTGTAACACCCCACTCTACCCCGTACACGTATTATAGGAATATTAAAGAAAATACACCAGAGTTTTCAAAACACGTAGTATGTCACATAGACATTTTTCCCATTCAATGAAGTATCAAGTCACTTCATGCTTTCCATGATATTTCAACAAGGTCATTCAATCCCCACAACCGGTGGTTATACATCATTAATCCAACAGATAAAAGATACGTAACAATTAATCAAGAAAATAAGCAAAATATAACATTATCTCGTCATCCCATGTTACGTATCAGAGCGACTCATAGGACTCGATCAAATAGCAACACACTCCAAGCACTACTCAAGTACCTGGCCATCTGCACTCCCCAAGGAGTACAGACGCAACAAACAGAAAAGGGGTGAGAACTACATTCAATAAATAAGCGGTGAAATACACATGCTAAGGAGTAGTTACACACCAAACATACAATCATACACATGCAACACACATACACGTGCCATCTCAATCACTCGACATTAATAGCCCATAATCAAATACAAATATGTAATGTAACTCACTGACTCGACACAATGCATGTGGTACTAACACAAATACATACGGTTCACCCTAGAACCTGATTCCCATTGGAATTCGGATAAATCATATACGTTCCTCTGAACTACAACTTATCTCCACAATGACTTCCACATGAAGTTCGGATGAACTAGGCACCCATCATGGATTCCCACCTAGTCATCTCCACAAGACACGTGACATGAAATGCATGATAACACCATTATGAAAATATAATAATAATTTCAAGCATAATTCATGATCATCAATAATCCACACGAGCCATCCGCTCACTGTAATCCTCTCGAGAATTACCATCATCACACCAGATCGTCCACACTAGACGGTCCTGGCCCACACATATCAATCACACCCCTAAGGGCAAAAACGTAACTTTCCATATTCTCTCTAATTAAATTCATTGCTAATCTTCCTTAAGTTCATTTTAGTCATATTAATCCTACCGATTGAACGAAATTGCGTTCCAAGCGAAATATGGGCAGAAATTGCGAAAATGGGAAAAAGTCATCCCAGGCCTACCCATACGCGTATTGTCCTTCCTGTTACGCGTAATGCCCAGCTGTCAAGCCCACCATACGTGTATTACCCTATTTGTTACGCGTATTGCCCTGCTGTTAGGCCCACCATATGCGTATTTCCCTATCTGTTACGCGTATTTCCCTGTCTCATACGCGTATCGCCAGAACTGTTGCCAAAAACTCAGATTTTATCCCTTTCACGAATCCTCACTCAATACTCTTCATTCTACCACTCAACTCAACCCAGAATTCAGTTTTTTATTAATCGTTTCTCTCTACCTCCATTATACTTCATCTATCCATTATTCTCCTAAGATTTTTATCATGTAAGGTTCAATTTCGTTAACCCCTAACCCATATTTTTCCAGACTTGTTACCTATCAGGATTTTATTTCAGCATCAAAGAATTTCCACATGATTTTCATATCAATCCCATATTCATACACACAATCATCATATAATAATCATTCAACAATAACAATAATTTTAGGGAATTCATCATGTTACGAAATTCAGATCAAGGAAACCAAAAACAGACATAAATCTTATGAGAGAAGGGACCTCTCATTACCCTCTCATGTTAATTCACCCATATTGAAATCCACTCTCCCCCCTTTACATTGGATTTGATCTCTTTCTCCCTAAACCCTCTTTATCAGATTTTTAATTTATTTAATCTAATTACTAATAATAATAATAATAATAATACTAATTATAACAATAATAATAACCATAAACCTATTAATATTATTATTAATAATAATTGAAATAATAATATTATTAATCATAATGCTCTTAATCTTGTTATTAAATTATCCCTTATTCTAGGTCCACATTACCCCAACCTATGTCAGCTGTCACTCTCGCTTCTAACCTCATACCTTTAATAAGGACATCACAACCAATACATGCACAACAAAGTATAAAATGACTAAATAGTTTAAATGGGGTGTTACAACATACGATAAACACTCTAGACAAGCAAGGAGAAACCCCTCACTCATCATTCCCCATGTACTTAAGGCTTATATCGTACGACGTTTATCGTTCTTTACTAAGTGTCTTGAAGAAATTTGAGACGAGAAAAGAGAGACGCACACAAAATCTAAGGGAAACTGAATCCTAACTTGTTATTATACAAAGTGGCTCTAAGATCAGGATTAGGAGGGAATCCTACCTAATGTTGTCATGTTTGGATTGAAAGCCTAATATCTCTCCTACCTATAATTTAATCGGAAATTAAGTTGAGTTAGGAATCCTAGAGGATCATGCAGATACAGGAGGTAAACAACAAGTAAACACGAAACGACGCAATCACAGACAATGTCAAGTATTAAACTCAAATTAGAATTTATGAAAAGTATATACAAGTATATTTACAAATGCACTCGAGAATTAAGAATTGATATAAAATTAAATAAGTAAAAAAAAAGAGTTAAATAAGTTTAAAATTGAAATCAAAGATCTAATCCTATGCTAATCCAAAAATTAATTCTAATCTAACTCTAACTTAAAGCTAACTTCTAGGATTAAAACTAATTTTTAATGTTAATTAAAATAATTCTAAAAGGAAAATCTAATACTTACTTAACTCTAAATTAATTAAATCCTAATCTAAAGTTATTCAAATAAAAAAACTTAAACAAAGTTAATTCTAAATTACTCAAAATTAATTAAAATAAACTAATCAAGACCTAATTAAATTCTAATTAAAATAACTAGTATTAAAACTAAATATAATGCTAATATTAATTAAAAATAAACTAAGTAAAATCTAACTAAATCCTAGTTAAAATAAAAAACTTATTTCTAAACTAAATTACCTAAATAAATCTAAACTAAAAATAAATTATTCTAAACTAATATTAAATATATTAATAAATTAATTAACCTAAATTAATTACTAAACCTAAGCTAATCTAAGATAATACTAAGTTATTCTAAACTAATTTAAAAAAAAAAAACTAATCTAAGTGAAAAAACTGAACCAGGGGAGGTTAGAACCTGCACTAGGCTTCAACCCCAGGCCCAAAAATAAAGAAACAGAGGGATTGCACCCGGTGAAAACGGGAGGTGCGAACGGTTAAATATATTGGGCCTAAGGTTCAAATGGCCCAAGTCTTTGACCAAGAATCAGGGGGAGTGCACTACTGATTGAAAGGGTGAATTAAAGTCTTCCGGAAGTCATTTTTTGCTCAAGCCATACCGGAATTCTTCAAGTAAGTCTTCCAGTTCGTTTATTTTTTTTTCCTTCACCGGAAGACTTAATGCATGTCTTCCGGTACACAAGTTGCTGGATTTCTTCACCGGAAGACTTCGATTAAGTCTTCCGGAACACAGTTTTCGTTAGTTCTTCACCGGAAGACTTTCTTCATGTCTTCCGGTTCATTGTTTTTTTTTAGTTTTTTTTTAGTTTTTTTTTTAATTAATTAATTTATTTATTTATTTTAATTTTTAATTAATTTATTTATTTATTTATTTTTTATTTTTAATTATATTTATTTATTATTATGGTTTTAATTTTTATTTTTTAATTATATATATTTATTTTTATTTTATTTTTTTTAATTATTTTTTTTCCCAGTGGTGCGCACACGAGGCAGAGATGGTAGGATCCCTCGCGGACTAGGACGGGGCGAGTCCTCCAGGATGGCTGAAGAAGAGCATTTTGATGCATCTGCATCAACATCCGAACTAGTTGGATATTCAGGAGGATCATATGATACGTCTCTGTTAGTTAAGTACGAACAGCATGTTGCATACCGTATATGGTTCGGTCAGGTAAGTAAACAAAAATTATTTAATATTGACTAGAATTTCGAATTTTTAATATTGAATTTTATAATATATTTACTTTTAATTTTTTTCAGGAGAGAGGGTCGAAGAAAGAGTTAAAGGTGGCTGGACATGGGTTGAAGTTGGCTCAGAGGGTTCCACTATAGCTACCTAGAGAGATGGAGAGATGGATATCTAGGTCTGGTTTAGCTTCACTACAGAGAACCAGTTTATCAAAGATAGACACAAACCTAGTTTCCGCTTTTGTAGAGAGGTGGCATCTAAAGACATCGTCATTTCACATGCCATTTGGTGAGATGATGATTACTCTAGATGACGTATCTTGCCTGCTTCACTTGCCCATCAAGGGAGTTTTCTGGAGCCCTGAAGATATCAGTGAAGCCCTTGCTGTTGAGTGGGCTGTTGATTATTTAGGAGTGTCACAGAGAGTAGCACAACAACAAGTCCGTGAATGCAGGGGTTCCTACTACAAGCTGGAGTGGTTATATGATCTGTTCGTTGAGCATAGAGCTACATCTAGATGGCATTATGCCACTAGAGCTTATTTGCTGATGTTGGTGGGTTTCACTATTTTCGCGGACAAGACATTTACGCTTGTCGAGGCACGATACCTCTCACTGTTTATAGACTTGGATGACTTATCTGGATACAATTGGGGAGCAGCTGCGTTGGTTACTCTTTACAGATATCTCGGAGATGCTTCCATGTTCAGCTGTAAGCAGCTTGGTGGTTATCCGACTCTCTTACAGGTATTTATTTTAATTTAGTATATTTTGTTTTAATAAATTTTATTATGTTATAATTAATTATTTTAATGTTAATAACCATATTAATTTTGTGACAATGCTGGATTCATTAGTATTTTCCAACACTTAGAAAAAAAAAGGAGAGAACTGGATACCAGCTCATAATGTGGGTCTCCCTCGAGCGATGAGATGGTCATATAGGCAAGGTGCCTTGAAGGTGGATGAGTTGCGACCTATTCTGGACGAGCTGACACTTGCTGATGTCATATGGCGCCCATTCGAGAATCATAGAGTATGGCGTCAGTTCGATGAGCTATGTCTATATAGGGGGTGTTTGAGGTGGGGTGACACTATTGTTCCATACTTGCCTGATAGATGTATGCGTCAGTTTGGATACAGGCAATATGTTCCACATCCACCTATTGATCACAGGATGGTTGGTGATATTGATGTTGACTGGATTAGTTACCATCAGAGCGTCCAGAATGTGATTCGTCCGACAGCACCGGCCACCACCCCATACGAGACAGATGATGGATATCTTGAGTGGTATTATCGTGTCTCTCATCCTCGTTTGGTACCGACACCCTATCATGATGCACCAGCAGAGATGCCAGCAGAGATGCCAGTTCCAGTATATGAAGCAGGACCATCTGATCCTAGTTGGGCTCGTGTGTCTTCGTTGATTCATCGTTATCTTCAGCAGGCTGGTGCTGAAGATGATGACCCACAGTTTGTGGATTTGTTCGAGGCTTTACATATTGCTCGATCACAGTGACTTATATTTTGTATTTATGATTATATGTTAACTTTTAGACTCATTTGACCTACTTGTTTTATGTTTATGTGGTAACTTTTAAACCCATTTGATCTAGTTGGTTTATGTTTAAGTGTTAACTTGTAGCCTGAAATAAAAAATGAATAATTTAATTCACGATTCATGTGTTGAAATTAAAAATGAGTAACAAAATTCATTATTCATGTTTTGAAATTAAAAATGAGTAACATAATTTATAATGTATAATGTGTTGGTAATATAGGCGTAAGTTGTTGCCAATGTTGTAGACGTGGTGCAAATCCTAGCATCCAAGATGTTGTTGCTGGAGAACGAAAATTCTTCCAATCTATTGTCACCGGTGGCAATGGAAACCCTTCTTTCATGTTCACCTAAATAAAAAAATAATCAAAATACTAAGTAAAAAATAAAGAAAAATACTTAGGGTTAATCGCATTATCAAAAAACAACTAAGTACCTGAACCCAATGATATCCATTTACAAAACCAATGCAGTAAATTGCTGCATTCGGTGAAAATGAAGTTGTCATAGGGAAGAAAGTCCAGCATTCAATTCTTAAACAGACAAGTACAACATTATAATGATTCGCTATCATGTAACCCATATCTGGTAGAGTTAACCATTTATGTGGTGGTTGAGAATCGACTTCCTCTATCATCAAAGATTCTCTCACCACTGCTAACTGATCAGTAAATAAATTAGCATACAAACTTAATCTTTCATTATGTATTATTTCCAACCCCAAGTCTCGACGAATCATTGACCAACCATCTTCACCCAATCCATGCAATGAAGCAATGACTCTAAATCCACAATTACCATCTGATACAACATTAACTACATCATCAATATATGACCGAATGTGATTAGGAAACTGAAGGATGAACTGCTTAGATGACTGTGATAATTTCAACTTCTTCGAAGCTTGTGATGGTTGAGATTTCTTTTATGAAGACTGTGATAATTTCAACTTCTTCGAAGTTTGTAATGGTTGCGATTGCATCTGTGAAGATTGAGATGCTTGATCAACATATTCGTGATAAGACGGGTCTCTATAAACATCATATCCTACTGGTTTTTTGTCTTTCTTCTTGACTCCTCCTTTAGTTTTTATTTTCTCAGGTGGTGGACACATAGAAGTCATTGTAGGGAAGGCAAGTTCAAACACCCTACTTTTTAATGCCCTTTTCCCAACAACATCCAGTGACTTAAACCTTTTCCATAACTCATCTATTGCACTACTCATATCCACCTCTGATCCATCATCCACGTCTTCATCCAACTTAACTTCCATACTTAGTTTTCTCCAATGAACATGTACATCATCTATTGGTATCGGTATACCATCAATTCTATATCCTGTCAACTCACAAGCACAAGGTAATCCGTAGGTTGTTCTAAGAGTACAACGACATATTTCCTTGTTAGTTCCAACATAATCAACTCATTTTAACTCTTCAGCAATGCGTCTCAATGCATCTCGAGATACTGAACCACGTAAATTATTGTAAAATGGACTTACGTGGGCATGCTCAACTTCATAAAAACTCTTTTGAAAAGAAGCTCTAATATTACCCAATTGTAACTTTAAGTTGTCATTCATAGCCTCCCAACATTTGACCATGTCACCAATATTGTTCCCCAACATTTGCTTTAACTTCCAATGAGCAGACTCAACCCTAAAATTAATACAGATTAAAAATATTTTTAAAAAATTCAAAATAAAATACAATTTATAAATACTAAAAATAAATACATACCGATTAGTCGTGGTGTTACCCAAATGTAGCACTCGATCAATCCATGCTCCAACAAATCTTTGTCTATGTGGTGTCAACCATGTGTCCTTCACATAATCAATAAATTTATTACAATCAACACACGCCTGCTCAAGTTGGTTCAACCTTTGATCATACTCAACCTCATCACTAGCCCATACAACATCCGTCCATAAATCGTCAATTTTCTTTTGCATTTCACTAGCCACATATTGTTTCCGTTTTGCACCAACATTCTTGTTAATATGAAATCGACATAGCATATTGATCGACCTTGGAAACACAATTTCAATGGCTTTCATCAAAGCAAGATATCTATCTGTCAAAATCACTTGTGGACACAACTCTTTCTTCACAAACAATTGTTTAAGCTTATCTAGCACCCAACAAAAAGTCTCAGTTTGCTCAAACTCAATATAGGCAAATGCGATAGCAAAAGTCAACTCGGTTGATGTCATGCCAACAATTTCAAACAGAGGTTGCCTATATTTGTTTGTCTTGTAAGTGCTGTCCATAACTAGCACAATAGGAAAAATATTCAACAATTTAACTGAATCTAGATGAGCCTAAAAGATATCTCTAATTACTTCAGAGTCATCTCTTTTTCTACTCCAATAAACATAACCTGCTTCCTCAATGAGCTTAAACAAATGTTGTATCTCACTTCTAGGACCTCTTATATTTTTTTCTATCATACTATTCTGTTTGTATATTTGCGTGATCCGAGTGACATTATCTGGATCTTGCTCTTGCAATGAAAGCAATATATGTCTAGGTGGAACCTTTCTCTTTGTCAAATCAACAACATGTTGCTTCTGATCCGCTGTCAACCTACCGACAAATGCGTGACCTTCTAATATATCAGGTAAACCATGGTTATGAACTCCACATTTTACATCAATCTTCCATCCAGATCCATCAGTCGTTGGAATTGATCTGATTCTAAATGGACATCCACATTTTTTCGTCGCACTTTGGGTTTCACTATCAATATCTATGTGTTTTCCGCCTTTATCACATCCAAATATTAATTTGTTACTTCTTCCTCTCTGGCCTGTATTAATATCTGAACGAGTGATGATAACCGTAACTTTATTTCGAATTCCGATCTCTTTAATCCATCTTATTACCTCTTCTCGTGTACCAAATCTTTGAGCTGTTGAAAAAACATCAGACATATCTACGCATATCTAATCTTTATCACATATTTGTAAAGGAATTTCTGAAATTACATAAAAAAAATTTAAAAAAAAATTTAAAATAAAAAAATTTAAAATAAAAAAATATAATAAAAAATAAAAACAAAAAATTTATAAAAATTTAAAATAAAAAAAATAAAATAAAATAAAAAATAAAATAATAAAAATTAAAAAAAAATTAAAAAATTGGAAACACGTACCGGAAGACTTCATCAAAGTGTTCCGGTATGCACCACACAAATTACACTACCGGAACTCTTTGATGAAGACTTCCGGTGAGCACCATACAAATTACACTACCGGAAGTCTTTTCTGAAGTCTTCCAGTATATTATTTTTGCATTCCGGAACTCTTTATACATGTGTTCCGGTTTGGAGAAAAAAAAACCTACCGGAGGTCATTTTTGAAGTCTTCCGGTAGACAGTTGGATCGGAACTCTTAAAATATACAAAATAAATAAAATAATAAAATATTAAATATATAAGGATAAAATAGGTATTTTTAAAAAAATGTGGGGCTATGGGTATAAGTGACAGGGTATGAGGTAAAATTTCCAGTCTTCACCCTCAGACGTCATCTTCTTCTCGGCAACAAAACACGCCGTCGTCAACCTAAGTCTCCCTCTTT